GCTATGGCTGCTCTAGTGGTGTGGCTTCAAGTCATCAGTGACAGGATTTTTCACATACTAAAGGAGAGTGACAAGGACTTTGCTTGGCTTCCTGTTTAATCTCCAAGTCATGCAATATAGCAAAAAGCCCTTCAGCCCACCATATCTATGACCAAAAAAAACACCAAACTACATTAACCCCATTCACCTGCACTTGGTCCACAGACTGGTATACCCTGGCATTAAGCACTTGTCCAGATGCTGCTTAAAATGTTGCTGGAGTAGCTGTCACCACTGCCAACCCACCCCTCACCTCAGGTGGTGCATCCCATATTTCTATTGCCCTCCTTTTGGGAACATGGTTTCCTCTATCCTGCTTACTCCTCAAACCTGTGCTCTCCGGTCTCAGTGTCTGCCATGAGGAAGACATTCTCCCATCTACTGTCCAGACGCCCCCAATCTTCAATACTTCCTCAGATAACTGCATCAGCCTGTTTTTCCTCCAAGGAAAATCCCAGCCAATCCAACCTATCAATGGATTTTCCACCTCAGGCAACATCCTGGTGACCATCACTTGCACCCCCTGCATTGCCATCCTGTCCTTCTCATTGTGGTCCTGGTCACAACACTATTCCATCTTTGATGTGGCCAAAATGTTTAAGGGGAGGAAAAGAAATGTCTGCCCTTGTGATGTGGATTCAATTCATCAGTAATAGGATTATCACATCCTGAAGGCAGGTGCAGGAAGTGAAGTGCTTCTGAGTTTCACCCATCATCCCGTCTCCATGTTGTGCAAGAACTATACTGTCACAGTTCTGAGTGAAGTCTGTATTAATCTCAACCATGTTCCTTTGTTACTGGCTTCAGTGAGATCAAATGTACACTCGGGGGTCTAAAGTTGAAGGTCTGCTGCTAATAACATGGCTGGACTCTTCTAGTATTAAAGCAATTCTGTTTGTATCAAGTACGTTCAGACAAGATCCAAGTGTGTGTGCTCCTTCTATAATTCATGATTAGACATGACAGCAATGATTGATTTCCCTCTACATCAACAGTCGAGGGTCAACTGTTGAACAAGGGTGCTGCATGTAATGGAAAAGTGAGGTTTGTCCTGAAGCTTAACTGTCCTTCTTTCCATTCTCAGAAGCCAGAGAGGGA